GCCGTGCCAAGAGGAGTTTTTCCTATGGACTTATAGTGCTGTAAAGATAAGTCGTTTAACTATTTGACCTTTTGTATTATGTATTACTTTATATTTACTGTTAACTGATCATATGCATATGATAAGGTGAATACCTTTATGATAATTTTTTTTTGATAATTTAATTATAAAATATTCGGGAGAAAAAAGGGACACTTCATGTGTTATTAGGTTTTAACTAGGATTTAGAGAGTCTGACCAAACTCACTTTTTTTTGGATATAATATTTTTGTTAATATAATACAATTTGATATTAAGAGGGACATAAATTTAATGTGGTTTGTTTTTAAATATTATATAATGAGTATGGAACAACTCATTTTTTGGATGTAATATATATATTTAATATAATTGTAATAGAGATTTATCAAGTTTGATATCTTTACAATATTGTCATTAGTACCTCATTTTAGTAGAACTAATTTAAATTTAAATGACTACCTTTTTGTTTTAAGACTTTGGCTACCCTACGGACTATTCTTGTTGTATACTAATATTTCATATTTTATTTGGCCAGTGGTAGTGACTATTCATTTGTTTAGGGGCTATTAGGTCCTATTGTATCTGTACACCATCCACTACCACTGTTATTTGGCTTTGCATTATATGTAAATTGTTTATACACATATACCTATATACATTTTTTATAAATATATATTATTGTTGCTATTTTGAGTTTTATTTCAGTTCTACTAACCAGTATATAACATAGCAAAACAAGATTATTATTTAGTATTTTTGTATTTCAGAGTACTATCTCCAGATTCATTTGTTACTTCAAAATCTCAACTATCGTTGAGTTGGCGCCCTTCTTTTCTCTTCTTATTGTTTTCTTTCTATAAATTTATTCCCAGTGACCTTCTTCAGTTGTATCACATTTGATATTACCAGGTCTCATTTCTTTCTTGTCTCATTAGCTCATTATCTCTTGTTATTGTTGTTTATATCTTTAAAGCCACAATCCAGTGCATTGAAGCTAGCCCGAACACTCACTTGAGATTTAGTGTCTCTTTGGCCATTTAAATTTGTTCCTCTGAGCTTAGCCCTATTTTTAGTATTTTTTTTTTCATCACGTCTCTTTCAGTTCTTCTGAACTTTGTCAATTCCCATATTTTATTCGTTTCAATAACTATGTTTTGATCTCTTTAGATGTAGTGTCATTGTTTACTAACATTCCAATAAAGTTAATCATTGAAATCATACAAGAAAAATGGTCTAAAATAGAACAATTCACATCCTTATCAAGAAAAGACTTCCTGTCATTAATAACATTCCTCTTTGATAATACATATTTTTGTTTTTGTGATAAATTCTATAAACAAATATTTGGAACACCAATGGGCAGTCCTATTAGCCCTATTTTAGCAACAATTATCCTAGACCATTTATTAGACCTTGGAATCTCAAAATTGCCGTTTTCAATAGCATTTATTTATAAATTTGTTGATGACATAATATGCAGCGTACCATTCAACCATATTCAGACAATACAAACGATCTTTAATTCACTTGATCAAAATATTCAATTCACTGTCGAGTATGAAAATGAAAATAGTATACCTTTTTTAGATACCAAAGTTATAAGAACTAATGATAACAGAATAATATTAGATTGGTATCAAAAAGATACTGCATCCGGCAGATTTATAAATTATTATTCTAATCATCCTAGAAATCAAAAATTCAACACAATTATATCTATGAAAAAATCGTGTAACGGCAATCTGTGATCGGAGTTTCCTAGATGTCAATTTAAAGAAACTTTTTGAAATGTTTTTAAACAATGGCTACCCAAAACATATATTAAAAAAACTTATTTATAACACTCACTTTCACAATAGAGCTTTAATAAATAATCCACAACCAGTTTTATACAAAAAAATACCTTACATAAAAAATTTAACAGACCAAATTGTCCCACTTTTAAAAACATTTCCGAACATTAAATTAATTAAATACAATCCACTTCTAAATTCAAGGTTGTTCTCAAAAATAAAAGTTAAAACTCCAAATTCACTAATGAGTAATATAATTTATAGAATAAATTGCAGTCAATGTCAAAGTTGTTATATTGGACAAAGTCAACAGTGGCTTAAACAACGTGTCACTCAACACAAAAGTGACTGTAACTTACGAAAAAACTCTTGTGCCTTAGTAGACCACCACTTAAAGACAGGACATAACTTTGACTTTAGTAATGTAAAAATATTAGAACAAATTGATAATTATAAAAATCGACTTTTCCTTGAAATGGTACACATTAATAAAACTCCAGAATCTATCAATTATAAGACAGACACCAACCATTTAAGTAATATCTACTGTAATATACTAAACAATATATAATATGATAGATCTTCATATCAGTATCTAACAACATCAGACCAATAACTGACTACGTACCATCAATTACATTTTATAGATCAATTTACCATGTTCCTGATTCTTTCTCAATATTCTACTTTTGCACCTTATTATATGGATAATACTGTCACAATATGTAATTGTTTATTAAAACTTATTCGCTGAAAATTGTACAATGGGAATTCACTCTATAAAATATTGCGGTTACCATAACTCCCAAATAAATTAAATCAAAAAAAAAAAAAAAACGTCATTTATCTAATTGGATATGTTATCAAAATTTAAAATTTTTAATCTTAAGTTGTAAGTATTGAAATATTCATTTTGTTTACATTTAATAATTATAATAAATTTACAGTTTTCTCCTGAAGAAGTCACAAAATCGTGACGAAATATTGAGAAATAACAAATAGAGTTTTATTTCACACAGACCAATTGCTGAGACTACAAATAATATTTAACACAGTACGGTCGAGAATAATTTGATAAATATATATATATATATATATATATATATGAAAATGCAACTATGATAGTATAACTAGACGAAAATACAAATCCCATCCCCATTAAGAGAGGAGTGAGACAAGGAGACGTAATATCGCCAAAGCTTTTCAACCTAGCCCTAGAAGACGTCTTCAAACCTACAAATTGGTCAACCTATGGCATTAACATTAATGGCAACAAGTTAAACCACCTCAGATTCGCTGACGACATAATGATTATAGCGAGCACATTTGAGGAACTGCAAATTATGTTGAGGGAACTAGCAGCCAGCTCCCAATACGTCGGCCTGAAAATGAATATAAAAAAAAAACAAAAATAATGACAAACACAGATGATCCCAGACATATAACTATAAACGGCAGTGAGATAGAACAAATCCAGGAATATATCTACCTACGCCAAATCCTGAGACTTGACAAAGAGAACCAAAGTGCGGAAATTACTTGAAGAGCAAGACTAGCATGGGCAGGATTTGGAAACTTTAGTTGGATACTTAAGAACCGCAAAATACCCCAATACTTGAGGAGCAAAGTGTTCAACCAATGTATCCTTCATATCATGACATATGGATGTCAAACCTGGACCCTAACCAAGGCAAACATGAATTAACTAGCCACAAAAAAAAGAACAATGGAAAGAGTAATGTTAGGTATACGACTGTCAGATAAAAAGAGGAACGACTGGGTAAGATTCAAAACAAAAGTCGAGGACATAACAACAATAATTGCCAAACTTAAATGGAACTTCACGGGCCACACTGTTAGACAGAAAGACCAACGTTGGAATACTACAATACAGCATTGAAGACCTTACGAAAGTAAACGACCAAGAGGGAGACCACAGATGAGATGGGTTGATGACATTAAAAGAATAGCCGGAATAAATTGGAAATATGTTGCTCAGGATAGAGACCGATGGAAGGAGTTGGGAGAGGCCTATGTCCAAACATGGACGACAGAAGGCTAAAAAGAAGAAGAGGAAGGTCCCTTTGAAGACTTCTTCAGTAATCTGCCATCATGCGAGTATCCCATCTCTCCTGATATCTTTCTTCCATCGCTTTAATATATTGGTGGAAGTGTTCCCCTTGTTTCTGACTAAAGTCACCAAGAGTTTCTGGGAAACGGTTCAATTGGCTGTGGAGCTAATCAATTTTAATACTCATATGACAACAGTGTTTAATAAAATTGTTGAGCATTTTTCCACTATATCTCGGTAATTTTCCGATTTATTGTTTCCAAGAAAATTTTCCACAACTTTCACAAAATGCGAATCTTTTATAAGTTGGCGTATCTGAGGCCCATCAAATATTCCGACTTTTAACTTACCGACTTTTATTTACAAAGTGCAGGAAATTTGCTGTACAAATATTCAAAACAAGAACGATTCTGGTCTAGGGCCTTTACAAATTGTTTCATCAGCCCGAGTTTAATAAATGTAACGGAGGTAATATTTTTTTTTCGGTCTACCAATGCTTCGTTACCTACGTTAGCTTCTCCTTGTACAAAAGCATTGCTAGAACGCCATTTTCTTCTCCTTCAGTGTAGGAGACCTTAGTGTCGGATTGTTCTTAGGCCTGGTATCCCAAAGACACATGAAACAAGGATATTTTGTATAGTCACCTTGTTGTGACTACCTTGTTGTCCCAGGACCTTGTTATGACTACCTTGTTGTCACCTGACACCTTGTTGTCCCAGGAGAAAGTTCACCATCTTAACCTTCTGCTACCGGAGGGGGGTACAGATTGTACCCCAAATTCGTTTTTTCATGAATAATTTTTAAAAATGTTGGAATTTTGTTTAACTGTTCTAGTTACTTCTTCATTGGGATGAGTAAAAGCATATCTAACCATTTGTTTTCAATTTGACATATTTTTACCTATGAAAAGTGCAGCACTGTGCTTGGAGTACAAGTTGTACCCCCTCCGTCAACCGCGGTACAGTTTATTGCGGTCGACGCCACTGACTAAACCAGACGTTTTGCGCACGGCACCAAACCTGTTGTTTGCAATAACACACAAATCAGTTCTGTGGATAACTTAGTGCTAACATACCGTTTTATTTTATCCATTTGTGATTACACGATTTACCGATATGTCGAAAAAAATAAAGTTATACCTTCGAAAAGAACAGGATCGTGAAACTGCAGTGCAGTGGTTGGAGAAAAGTGATGATGATTACCTTTCTGAAAGAGATGGTTTATCGGATGATTTAGAATTAGATGACAATTTAGAAGTAGCGGAATATGAGCCTGAAATTTTGCAGGTAATTTTTATTTCTGTTTTATGTACGATATTTCTATCTTGAGTTTATTATATTTTAGCCATCTGAGAGTGACAGTAATGATTCTGATAAACCAGTTTTGGGGGCATCAGATTCCACATTTATTTCCAAGAATGGTACAGTTTGGAAAAATCGTCCTTTACGACAAACTAGATGTCGCATAAAAAACTTGCTCCAAAAACCAGGGCCTACAGAAAAATCTAAAAATGTCGCTAAAATTAGTGATTGCTTCAAATTATTTATAGATGAGAAAATTGTAGAGATCATCGTCAAATGTACAAACCAGAAAGCGGAGAAATATTTTCAGGATTGGAATAGGAAAAATTCTAATAAAACAAGAACCTGGTTGCCCACTGATTCAGTGGAAATTTATGCGGTCTTGGGACTCTTACTTACGGCGGGTGCGCTAAAAGCCAATAGGAAACCAGTGCACTTTTTATGGTGTCGAAACCCTTTGTACAGTCGATCTATTTTTCCCGCTGCCATGTCACGCGACCGATTTTTAGATTTAATTTCACTTATGCGATTCGATGATTTGAAAACTAGAGAAGAACGTAGAAGTTCTGACAAACTAGCAGCTTTTAGGGAAGTATTTACAAAGTTTGTAGAAGGTAAGTGTCCATTTAGAGTCTACATGAAATCAAAAACAGCCAAGTATGGCATCAAAATATGGGCTCTAGTTGATGCAACAATAACGTATGCTGCTAACCTTTAGATTTATATTGAAAAAGATGATAACAAACCAGAAAAAGACCAGGGCAAAAGAGTAGTACTTGATTTGGTTGTATTTCTAAAAACTGGTTATGGCATCACTACTGATAATTTCTTTTCCAGTGTTCCCTTGGCAAAACAACTCCTAGATCGACAAATAACATTATGTGGAACACTTCTAAAAAACAAGCAGGATATCCCTCCAGCCCTACTACCCAATATTTCTAGATAAGAAAAGTCCTCAGTTTTTGCCTTCACTGAGGAAATAACACTGGCGTCTTATGTCAAACCTGGGTCAAGAACTTATAAAGTCCCATGTCGATAGGCGACTACAAAGTCCACAAAAATTCCATAAGCGAATTATAAACGCGATGTACGAATTAGGCCCACCGCCACCAAGGGAGAATCGCGAAAACGACGCCATCATCTTAAAATCCTCAGGGCGATGTTTACTTTGTCCACGCAGGAAGGACCACAAAAGCAGAAAAACGTGCAATTGTTGTAAATTCTTTGTTTGTGCTGAACATCAAACAACCACAACAATTCAAACAATAATATGTACAAAATGTAAAGCTAATCAAAAAAACGATAATTAATTTTTTCAAGACACCATATATTTTTTTATTGTTACTTATATTCAATAAAAAATGCTTGCATTTGTTTTTATTATGTTTTAACTAAAATTATTGCATTATGTTAATATTTAATCTATAAAAAAGCATGGGGTGCATAATGTACCCCCTCCGTCAACTACAAAACAGCTTGACCCTTCGGTAGCGAAAGGTTAAAATCAACACAGATCGCCACTGATGTCGGTCATACTTCATGTTTTTTAGTACCAGCGATATTTTTTAATATTCTTCTTTAATTTTTGTAAAATTCTCAATTGGTATACTTCCATATTTGTTGCCATTATGTAGAAGGACACACTTTAAACTTCGTTTGGAACTGTCAATAAAAAGACGCCACTGATCTGATATACACTCATTTTTTTAACAGTTCTTTAATATTATTACAAAGAATCATATAATCTTGCTGAGAATAAAAAGCAAAGGATCTTTTTCTCTATTACGGTAGTATGTAGTATGTAATTTTGTTATCTGGGTAAAGAAAATTCTTTTACCTTAGTCTGAAAGCAAGTAACTCGAAAGAATCCTTTCTAAGGTTCAAATCTCTGCTAAGATCGTTTTTCTTCAGTAAACCGCCCAGGACGTGTTATATCCCCTTTAAAATCACTGTCCTCTTCCTCAAATCTATTAGTCTATAGTTCGTCAAATATCGTTTCGACAATATGCTCTGGTAACGTAGGTAGACTGCTAAATATTGGAATGGGTATCTGCTTAAACTGATGTGGAATTGGTATTATTGCTGAATCCAGGTTAGAATATATCCATGTTTGTCAATTGTTACGTTTAATGCCCTTTATATTTACAAGACAGGAATGGCAATCGTCTAAATGACTTTTTGGTTCCCTCCATACTATTGAAACACCAAACTTTAAACATTTTCGTCGTCCTTTCGTCCACAAGTTTTCAAGACAAAATTTGCACACTACATGAGGATACCAGGATTTATCTTGATCTCCCAAAAGAACACTATAATAAGCTTGATATGCCCTTTTAATAAAATCTTTTTTTTAACGTGCCCTATCCAGTCCCCTTGACGTTGGCGATTAACATGGCGAAACTGTCTCGAGCTATTCTAAAGAGTTGCTTAGCTTTCCTTATTCCTGTCCATTCCTTGATATTCTTCAACCAAGAGGCCTGCTTTCTACCAATTCCTCTGCCATCTTTCTACATTTGATGTTATCAAGCAGCTCGCGAGCAGTATTTGCTCTCTCAAGGACTGCCACATTTGTCAGCATAGCCGTCCATGGAAGGTTTAGTATACGTGTATGCAGCCACATTTCAAAGGCCTCCAGACGATTAATGGTGGATATTTTTAATCTCCATGCTTCGACACCGTATAAGACGACTGACCAAATGTAGCATTTAATCATGCGCTTTCAAAGTGAAAGTTGCAAGTTATCATTACAGAAGAATGACCTCATTTTTCAAAATGTCGTGCGGGCTATGTCGATTCTACATTTTATCTCTTGATATGGATCTAGTTATTCAGTAATATGGCAACTCAGATAATTAATACTGGACACTCTTTGCATTATATGACCATCAACATATAATCGTGCATCTTGATGTGCTAAACGGCTAAACACCATGGGTTTTGTTTTTAAACAGTTTATGTTTAGGCCAAACTCTCTTCCCACTATATCAATGGCATTTAAAAGGCATTGTAGTACATTCATGTCATCACTTAAAATAAGTGTATCGACTGCATATCTGATTGTATTTATCAGAATTCCATTAACTTTCACGCCCCATTCCAAATTATGCAGCAAACAGTAAATTTACTTTTTCTATTTTGAGAACGATTTCCGAAGTGGAAATTGAAACATCAATAAACGTAGTTTTATCGTTAATTGTGACTTATTCCGAGTTAAATAGTAATTTATGTATCTATTTGTTTGAATATGTTTGAAATAAATCTTCATAGCAGGAGTCCGTTTTTAAAACAGACCTTCAACTGTGAAGGTAAAAATAACGTATTTGCATCCGTGTTGGAAGGAAACTCTTGTCACCGTTGAAAAAAACAGGAACTATTCTATAAGAAACCACACTAACTAAATTTTTATTTTTTTGACACATTTTTCGTCTTTGATCGGAAGCCACTCACTTATTATGTATTTTTTTATTGATTTACCCGATAATATATTTTTAATAGTGCCATTTTTTTTATTTCGCTTACTTGTGGTGGAATCATAATAAATTCTTCTACACCAATATCATTTATATGCTTCCAATATTATTATCTGGTTTAAAACATTACATTATGTAATTTGCAGTTGTAATTTTTAACTGACTTTACTAGGATTACAGTTGCATTATCCAATCATACTAGCCGCGAGCGTATTTGTTTGAGGTATTTAATGATGTGTGTGTTCATAATTTGTAATCATATTAATGATATATATTTAATAAAAGACCATTAATTAATTTTAATACACTTTCTAGTAATTATTTCATAATTCTGTATGTAATAACAATGATTGAAAATTATTTAAAATACGTATGGTAGTTGGGGGTAAAAACACGCACGAGGCAAAAGAAAGCACCTTATTTAAATTTTATGCTAGTGTCCAGTTTAAACCGACTTTAGTTTACAACCGTTTGGCAAGAATGTACCACATGTGTTGTTCCAAGTTTAAAGCTGACTTAAGCCGTTGTTTACAAACATTGAGTTACAATCTATGGAGAAGCTATGAGCATATTAACGTGTGTATTAAAAACGGCGTCTATAGGCGTGGCTAACGATCATACCAATGTGGCGGTGGAATCAGGATCAGACTCAGTATAACACTACTATACAAATATGACTAGTTATTTAGAAGATTTATTCATAATCTAAAAAAGTGCAATACATTTTTAATAAACTATGATTTATTTATCCCGCTGTTATATATATTATACATAAAGATAAATTAATACAGTCAGATAACAAGTTATACAACTTATATATTTGATAACTACAAATTAAATTAAATTTAGAAAAGTTATTATTAAAAAAAAACAAAATTGAATACCTGCCGAATATCACAATGAAAATACTGTGTAGAAAAAATAAAAATGATTATTGTTTAAATAGAAAGTGTAGAAGTAAAAGTGTAGAAATAAAAATAAATTTGAACCTAGTTAGATGTTTTATACGAACAACAATACTTTTACACATGCGTTTTGTTATTAATGTGAAATAGTGGATTAGTATCATTTAAGTTTATTCTGGTACTGTACCTGATTATAACTTCAACTGTAGGGTTTTGAATTGTCTTCTGTTTCAAACTTACATAAAAAAAATTATGATAATAGAAGAAGTCACACCAGCTGTTGCTTTACAGGATGATGGGCGGAGCGTTCGTTACATCGCAAATGCTTTAGAAATTTCTCGAAGTTCGGTGTTTAATGCAATACAAAGATTTCGGGAAACAGAACAATACACCAGGAGACCAGGTTAAGGTAGACGAAGAACCACAAGTCAAGATGAAGATGGCTTTCTTAGGTTACAAGCTTTACGCGATCGAACATTATCAGTACCAGTGCTTGTTCAACGATTAAATCATGTCCATAGAAACACAGTTTCCGTTTATACCGTTCGAAGACGCTTAAATGAATATGGATTAAGGTCCAGAATACCTGTCAAGGGACCTCTATTAACAG